TCCCTACAACATCATAACATGGTGACCAGAACTGTCAATCTCCAAAAACAACATAATAGTTGTATTTACAAATCTAAGAACAACTTGAACAAGAAGCTTGTTTCCACCACGGGATAAAAAAAAATTTCAAAAGCCAATTGGGTCTCTTTGTGTGTGTATATATATGTATATATATATATATATATATGTAAACTTACAATTCCCCCAAAAAAAGTAAAAATTGCAAGATGTAAACTGAGAATTCTGGGGAAATAAAGTCAGAATTGTGAGATGTCGTTTTAGAATTCAGAGAAAAATACGTCAGAATTGTGAGATGTAAACACAGACTTAAAAGGAAAAATGTCAAAATTGCGTAATGTAATAATGAGAAAATTAGGTCAGAAATGCGAGATGTAGACTCAAAATTCCAAGGGAAAATGTCAAAATTGTGAGATGTAAATGAAGGATTCTGAGGGAAAAAAAGCCAGAATTGCGCGATGTAAACCAATAAATCTGAGATTAAAGTCAAAATTGCCAGATGTAAACTCAAAATTTTGAGGGAAAAACCCCCCCGCAAAACTGCGAGATGTAAACTCAGAATTCCATGTGAAGTCAAAATTGTGAGATGTAAATTTAGAATTCTAAGAAATGTCAGAATTGCGAAATTTACACTCAGAATTCTAAGAAAAACGGCTGAATTGCAAGTTGCAAACTCTATTTTGAGGAAAAAGACAAAACACGGCGGAATTGCTAGATATAAGAAATAAAAAACGTAAATCATGAGCTTTAATCTCATAATTCTCAGTGACCATTTTTATTGTTTTATTCAATGGCAGAAACAAGCTTCCATATCCATCACGATTTTAGAAGACCTCACAGAATGGTTTGGAATGACACGCTCATTTTGGGGTGAATTATTGCCATAAAACCAAGAGACGCTATGAGAACCAGTGAACATCATCCTACATCCTACATCTTTCATGTGGCTCTCTTTACTTTGAAAACGCCAGGCTCTCATCTCTGAAGCTCGGTGGATTCATCTGACCAGGGGAAGGGTTACGATGGTGAAAACATGCCTCGTATGTACTGAAGATCTCCAGAGTTTCCTTTGTATAGACTCCCTCTTGTATCATAACCTGAAGGTCTGTAGAGTTTGGCACTTGTATGTAATTGTATGCCTTTGTTATACATTTGTATATTGAGAAGTGTGTTTTGAGTCGAGCTATTTAATATCTTGCACTGTTAATACCATGTACGTTTATCTGTACAGTTTTAACTGTGTACATCCGGAAGGTAGAAGCATGTTCCTTTTCTTATCCGTTCTTTTTGGGTTTCGTTCTTACATAGAAATTAGTTTTGATTCAGTTTTTCATACTTTTTCATTTTCGTCATACTTTTGTATTTCCGTTAAACTGTGCTTGTACTACGTTTTCTTTTCATAATGTGTGTATTTTCCAGTCTGTACATGAACTGTAAAGTTTTATGGATCTTTACAAAAATGTCCAGAGACGTTTGTAAAGACGAGCGAGAGCGAGAGAGAGAGAGCGTGAGAGATTGTCAAAGCTTAACGGGAAGTTCTATCATATTTATTAAGCGCATCAGAAGATGGACCGTGTGTAATTTATTGTACAAATGTAAGCAGAAAAGCCTTTGAAATAAATAAATGCCATAGTTTGTGACCGCGAATGTCCACTTTGGTTCATATCGGAGACGAGTGATGAAAAATGTGTTTCAGGTGTGTGTTGATCTAAAATATCTTCTGAAGAACAGCACAATCTGGGAATCTTAAGGAACAAAGGGTTTTATAATTAGAAAGGTTTCAATATTTAGGGAAAAAAAGCCTCTTGAAGCCTCTAACAATGCAAAACAAAATAATAATATACACATTAATAGAAAACCTCTAAGTTCAGAATAGAAATGAGTACAATGAGTATTTTACATGTATACACTACCAAGTCAAAAGTTTGGGATCAGAACTATTTTTAATGTTTTTACTCATCAAGGCTGCATTTATTTGATCAAAAATACAGGAAAAACTGTAATATTGTGAAATATTATTATGATGTAAAATAACGTTTTTCTATTTTAATATACATTAAAATGTAATTTATTTTTGTGATGCGCAGCTGTATTTTCAGCATCATTACTCCAGTCTTCAGTGTCACGTGATCTTCAGAAATCATTCTAATATGCTGATTTATTATCAGTTTTGCTGCTTAATATTTTTTTGGAACCTATGATACTTTTGTGATACGTTGATGAATAAAAAGTTTAAAAAGAACAGCATTTATTTAAAATAGAAATATTTTCTAACAATATACACTACTGCTCAAAAGTTTGAGGTTAGTACATTTTTATTCTTGCTTATTTTTTTGAAAAAAATTAATACTTTTATTCAGCAAGGATGTGTTCAATTGATCAGAAGTGATGGCAAAGATTTATATTTTGAATAAATGCTGTTCTTTTTAATTTTTTATTCATCAAAGAATCCTGAAAAAAGTATCGCAGTTACCAAAAACATATTTGGCAGCACAACTGTTGATAATTCTGATAATAAATCAGCATATCAGAATGATTTCTGAAGATCATGTGACACTTTATACTGGAGCAATGATGATGGAAATTCAGCTTTGCATCACAGAAATAAATTATATTTTAAATGATATTCAAATAGAAACCAGTATTTTATATTGTAATAACATTTTGCAATTTTACTGTTTTTTTTCTGTATTTCTGGTCAAATAAATGCAGCCTTGATGAACAGAAGAGACTTCTTTAAAGTCTTACTGATCACAAACTTTTGAACAGCAGTGTATATATATATATATATAGACAATCTCAGTCATACAAATTTTTAAAGTTTGTGATCAATAATATATATTCTCAATCTCAAAGTTGTGTATAAAATTATGTATAATTTTAAAATAATAAAAATACATAAAATTATATATATATATATACACACACATTATTTTTTATTTTTTTTTACCTTGATTTAGAATAAAAAATTGAGCCAGTCTGAATCTATGGAGTCTCATGAAGACATTTGTGCACTAATCAGTAGAATCAATTAAATCTGTTCATTCAAAAGATTAAAGCCTGTTTTATAAACCGAAATATTTCCAGGAATCACTGTAAAAGCAATCATGAACACTGGAAACTTCATGGAAATAATGGAAGTTCAAATGAAAAATTTATATTTTATTTTCATAACACTAATAACTATGTGCATGAAGATTTACCGAGAAACATTAAACCATGTAGTAATGTTATTATTAGTGACTGCAGTGAAACTTACTGACAAAATGCTTTTATATGCAGTTCAAGTCCATTTCAGTCAAGTTCTTTAAATCAGTTTTTAACTGAATAAACATTAACATTACACATGCACTTTCGTTCAATGCAAATATTGAATATTATACAATTGTGCATACAAAAATAAATCAGAACAGGGAACATAGAAAGCAAATACAAAAATAAAAGCATTTTTCAGCCGATTTAGATGTTTTTAATCTTTCAGGCGTCTGCAGCGAACACTCCCAACAGTGCTTTCGTCATCAGAGGGGTCCTTCCGCCGCTCGGTGAGCACGTGTTCTTCAGGAGCGGCAGCGGCAGCAGATCTCCGGTAACGGCGCCGCGATGATGGGCGGCAAACCGAGCGCGATCGCCGCGGGCGTCTGCGGCGCGATCTTCATCGGGTACTGTATCTATTTCGACAGAAAACGACGCAGCGATCCGAGCTTCAAAACCAGACTGCGTGAACGTGAGTCATGCGATCGGCGAGACTAGTTCACAGATTACTAGAGCGCTGGTCAGGGTTTATGCGGTCAGCTAGTGTTTAGATTATAACACGGTGTCTTGATAATATCTAGCAGGTCAGGCACGTTCAGATAATAGACTGTATCTTTGACCCTCGGTGTGTTGCGCGTGTGAATGATTCATTGAATCGGTTCGTTTGAATGACTCGTTTGAACGGCTCACCTGTGAGTCATAAGGTGATCATACTTTCATGATCGCATAGCTGTCTGATCAATCAATATGAGTGGCGCCACCAAGTGTAAATATCGCCTGATTTTAAGTGTTGTAGATGATGAAGAATCATATTGGCTGAATCGAATCAGTCAGGTGTCTTGGATTTTGTGTCTGATTCGAGATTTGAATCAGCTACTTGGATCTATATATATATATGTGTGCATTACATATATAAATATAAAATGAATGAATACAGAAATGTGTAGTTTGATGTGCTGTTTTCTCTTTCTTAGGGAGGAAGAAGCAGAGAGCTGCTCAAAATAAATCTGGACTTGCTCAAGTAGGTCAAACATCTGATCACCTTTAGATGTTTATGAATCTTGTCATTATTAAATGACAATTTAAAAGAAAGCTATATATTGTCATGTATAAAGGCCCACTTTATGCTATGAAAAATTAATATAAATGTGTAAAATATTCCTTAGAAAATATTTCGATTCTCTTATGTTACATTATTGTAGTTTTATTTTTCTATCACTATCGTACTTTACTGTAATTTTTTTAAGCGTTTGTTTTATTTTAATTGTACTTTATATATTTCGTTTTTTAGCAATTTATTTTGTTAGATCTTATTGTTTTTTATTCATTTTTTCATTTGTTTTAATCAAATTTAGTTAGATTTTTTGTTTCAATAATTTTTCATTTAAATCATTTTATTTTTATTTTAATAATTTAGTTAGATCTTATTGTTATTTATTTATTCTAATCAGTTTTAATTCATTTTCTGATTTTAATTTTTCATTTATTTTAATCAAATTTAGTCTTATTGTTTATTATTTATTTTAATCAGTTTTATTGTATTCATTTTCTCATATTAATTTTTTCATTTATTTTAATCAAATTTAGTTAAATTTTTTTTGTTTCAATTTTTCGTTTAAATCATTTTCTATTTTAATCAATTTATTTTAATAATTTAGTTAGATCTTATTTTTAATTATTTATTTATTCTAATTCGCTTTAATTCATTTTCTGATTTTAATAATTTTTCATTTATTTTAATCAAATTTAATTAGGTCTTAATGTTTATTATTTTAATCAGTTTTATTGTATTAATTTTATCATTAATTTTTCATTCATTTTAATCACATTTTTAGTTAGATTTTTTTTTATTTCAATAATTATTCATTTAAATCATTTTATATTTTAATAATTTAGTTAGATCTTATTCTTAATTTATTTATTCTAATCAAATTTAGTTTTTTTTTCACATTTATTTAAATATTTAATTTAATTGTAATATTTTTTTTTAATCTAATTATGTAGTTTGACAGCTCTTATTTTGATTTATTTTAAAATGTTTTGCTCAGTTTTCTGTGAACTGTCCCACAAACTCCCCAGCACTGCATTTCAGTCCTCAGACCTCAGTGTGAAAAGCCTCTAGAGCTTCATGAAGATGGTGAGCTTTGGCCATATGCAGCAGATTGTCAGTCTTTATCTTTCAGCTGCCAGATCTTAAAGATGCGGCAGCCGTGCAGAAGTTTTTCCTGGATGAGATTCAGCAGGGCGAGGAGCTGCTGGCTCAGGGTGAGATGTTTGGCTCTGTTTGTTCTGCATGGGGTTTCTAGATCTACTCTGCCTGCCGTGAAGTGATAAATGCCCAAATGTGTTCCTCAGGAGACTATGAGAAGGGTGTTGATCACCTGACCAATGCCATCGCTGTCTGCGGCCAACCACAGCAGCTCCTGCAGGTGCTTCAGCAGACTCTGCCTCCACCCGTCTTCCAGATGCTGCTCACCAAACTACCCACGATCAGTCAGGTGAGCTCAAACTACATATCTGACCCTGGAGCACAAAACCAGTCATTAGGGTCAATTTCTCAAATTTGAGATTTGTACATCAGCTGAAAGCTGAATAAATAAGCTTTCCATTGATGTATGGTTTATGATAGGACAATATTTGGCTGAGATACAACTATTTGCAATGTATTTTTGGCTATTGCTACAAATATACCCCAGCGACTTAAGACTGCTTTTGTGCTCCAGGCTCACATATATAGTTTACTGTTACACTACTGTTCAAAACATATCAAACCCATCACTGACTGTCCACTGCATTCTCCAAAACCCCCCGTGAGCTGCGTGTAGCTTCTGGGACAAGAAGGAATGCAAGAGAAAGCCAAGAACTTTCCAAAGCTACATGTCTTCGCAGTGACTATTAGCTATTTCACCTCTTGAACATTGACATACCTGTCACTGACGTTAAGCAGCACGTGCTGTCAGTAGAGAACTCGTATTAAAGGAGCAGTTCACCCAAAAATAGAACCATCTCAGATCATCCCAGATGTAGATGAGTTTGTCTCTTCATCAGATTTGGAGAAATGCAGCATTGCATCAGTGTCTCAGCAATGGCGTGAATGGGTGCCGTCAGAACGAGAGTCCCAACAGCTGATAAAAACATCACAATAATCCACAAGTAAAGTCTATAATCCATAATAACGCTTCCTCCAGTGAGAAAGTGTTCTGGTGTGAATCAGGAGAGAAATCTGCACAGATCAAGCACCGTTTAAACGGCTCTAAACTAATATGTGGCTGGATTTTGATGTGAGAGACAACAGGAGATGCACTTTCTCACTGCAGGAAGCGCTATTATGGATTATAGACTTTACTTGTGGATTATTGTGACGTTTTTATCAGCTGTTGGGACTCTCGTTCTGACGGCACCCATTCACGCCATTGCTGAGACACTGATGCAATGCTGCATTTCTCCAAATCTGATGAAGAGACAAACTCATCTACATCTGGGATGATCTGAGATGGTTCTATTTTTGGGTGAACTGCTCCTTTAATACGAGTTCTCTACTGACAGCACGTGCTGCTTAACGTCAGTGACAGGTATGTCAATGTTCAAGAGGTGAAATAGCTAATAGTCACTGCGAAGACATGTAGCTTTGGAAAGTTCTTGGTTCATATAAGGTGTTAATTTGATTCCAAACATGATTTTTCTTGTAGCAATCACAGATCTTTGAATACAAAATACAAATTCAAATTACAAGTGTAATATTTTACTGATAAAGCGAGTTATAAAGGTCATCGGTTCATATGTTACAGACACAAACACAAGGCAGTTTCTTTAAAGTGTAATTTTTG